GAAGAGTGAGATGCCATGCATAGAAAATAGAATCCAACCCTTATTTATAAAAAAGGAAAAGGGAAGTGGTGAGCTTATGTCACCATTTATTTATAGCCCCACCTTCCAGAAGTATCTTAAGTCATGGCTGCTTTGGCAGAGGACTCAGGGAGAAAAGAAGTCTCCTCTTTAAAAACCAGACCAGGGAGCACCAGCCCTGAGTTGTTAACAGGTTAACAATGGGGAAGAGAGTAATTCTGGCATTTAATTTCTGAATATTTTAAAATGTGAACTTTATTTGGATGAGAGGTAGTTTAGAGGGTGGTTAAAAGCATAGATTTACTGTTATACCCAAAAAAACTGGCACAGGTGTTCAAACAAAAACTTGTTCAAGAACATTCTTAGCAGCACTATTCACAATAACCAAAAGGTGAAAACAACCCAAATGTGCATCAACTGGAGAATGGATAAACAAAATGTGGCACATCCATACAATGGATTATTATTAAGCAATAAAAAGTAATAAAGTACTGATAGATGCTACAGCATGGATGAATCTCGAAAACAAGCTAACTGAAAGAAACCAGGCACAAGAGACCATAGATTGCATGATTGCATTTACATGAAGTATTCAGAATAGGCAAATCCACAGAGAAAGCAGATTAGCCATTGCCAGAGGCTGGAGGGAGAGGGGAATGGTGAGTGACTGCTTAATTGGGTAAAACGTTTCATTTTGGGTGATGGAAATGTTCTGGAACTAGATAGTGGGACTGATTGCAGAACTTTGTGAATGTACATAATGCCACTGAATTGCTGAATTATACACTTTTAAATTGTTAAAATGGTAAATTTTATGTTATGCATATTTTATCACACACACACACAAAATAAACTTATTCTTGGGCGGTGGGGCGGGGGGGAAGCATAGACCTAGTCAGTTGTGCCCAGGTTCTAATCTCAGCTCTACCATTTACCAGCTGTGTGACCTTGGGCAAATCACTTAAACCCTCAGTTCCCATTTCCTCTCAAAGTGGGGGTGACTGTAACAGTACCTACCTCAGAGGGTTATAAATCTTAAATAAGCCAACATATGCACTTAGGCATATAAGCAGTATAAGCATTTGCTTAGCATAATGCCTGGCACAGAGGAAGCATGCTGTAAATATTTGTGGTATTAATCTAACCCCGGTATTCTCAACTGGGGGCAGCTTTGCCTCAGGAGAAATTTGGCAGTGTCTGGAGAGATTTGTGATGTCACCATTGGGGGATGCGACTGGCATCTAGTGGGTGGAGGTCAGGGATGCTGCTACCTATCCTACAATGCACAGGACAGCTCCTCCACAACTAAGAATTATCCGGCCCCAAATGTCAGTAGTTCCAAGGTGGACAATCCCTGATTTAAACGGAGCGTGCCGGGACATGTGCTTCATCTAATGAATATATGAATAAAAATACGTCAGATAGAAATTTTTGTTCGAAAAAGACTGCCAGCCTGTCTCTGTGTATAGACAACATGTGTTAGACTTTGTGAGGATATAAAAGAAACCCAGCCTCAGTCCTGGAGGGGCTTGGATAAGAAGAGCTCTGTGTGTGGAGGGCTGTTTAAGAGGGAAGTTTTTACCAAGAGACTTTTGTCATCATTTTTCCTTTAATAAGAGGCGATCTGGGGTCCTCCACACTTCTCACAATAATTCTTGCTCAAATGCTAACACTTAACAGTTCCCTATAAAGACGCATCTTAAGTGAGTGAACAGTGTCTGTTCACATATCTGAATGTGTCTTGTGTTTGGGTAAATTCTATTGAACAAATATCTGAAAAAGAAATCACTGTCAGAAATAAAAATTACTTGTTATAAGTAAAGGCACAGACACACAAAAAAATATTAAATCTTCTTGTATTCAACCACCCACACACCAAAAGGTAAAGGAGACCCCTTTTGCCCACTTTCCATTTAAAGAGTTATTTTATCAGATTCCAAAACCATATATCCATATACTTAGTCTAGTTTGGATCACAGAATATCTTCTTACACAGAATGACTCGCCAACAAAAGGTCTGTCTTGATTTGCTAGCAGTGAGGTTTGCGAAAGGGACCCTTATTCCTCCTCTCTGTCCTTTTGCCTTTAGGCTAAGTATTGGAAGACTGTTAAAGGCATGCCAAACCTTCAGTCAATCCTTGTGCGTGGCAGATGTCCTTTAGGATTGGGCGATGGGAAGGAGGGCTAAGGAGTGTGGTGGAGACCATGAGGAGGGCAGACCCCTGGAGGTTCACACCCTTGGAAGCTAAAGCATGGGGATGCATGGGGCAAGAGACCCCACTCCATGCACCACCTTTGCACACCTTCCTCCATAACTCTGGTTTCCTGTATGTATAAGTGCTTTCAACAGCTTATTTAGTGCTACTATGGCAGGGAATCTTACTAGACCTTTTTGGAGGAGGAAACAAAGGTGAACCAGACATAGAACATGTCACACGCAGTTCTCAATATGGCAGACCATAAGACCTGTTATAAATCACTCTAATAAAGTGATAAGTGCAATAAGAAAAATGTGGGGAAAACACTATGAGATTCCAGAGGAAAGTGTTTGCCTACAGTGGGGAGTTTGGAGAAGTCTTTTTGGAGAGGGTGGCATCTGAGTTCAAATGTGAACATTGGTGGATATGTAGATGTGGAAATGATGCTGGAAAATGCTAAAGGACAGAGCAAACTACCAAGATGGGAAGTTGACTATGTCGGAGAAGCAGATTTGTAGCATTTGTGGCAGGGAGTATAGGGAAATAAATAAGATGGATAGATTGAGATGAGCTCATGAAAAACCCACAATGCTAGGATGCAGTCAAGCCATGGGGAATCACTGACATTTTCTGAGCAGAGGTGGAGTGGTGACTGGACTAAGACAGCTGTTGTGCAGCTGTGTATAAGGTGGACTGGAGAGATATCAAGGGTCTGAGTTATTGTGAGGCAAGAATAGTAAGGAGAGGCCAGACTTGGCCAATATTTCAGATAAAGCATTTGGCAAGACAAAGTGAAGGAGGCAGCCCTGCACGGCTTACCTAGGCGCTTGGACATGGGGCTCAGAAGCACGGGTGCTGGATGCAGATGTTTTGGGCTCTAGTCCTGGCTCTGCTGCGTAAACCCACTGCATGTCCCTGAGATACCTCTTGATGTCATATTCTCTTCACAAAATGGGAATAAAAGTCTTGTTTTACATACTCATAAGAAGAGTAAATGAGTAAGTGCACTTAACACATTCTGAATCTCGTCTGGCATAACATAAGTTAATGTGCTCAAAAGCCCAATGTAAAATTGGCTGTTATTTTTTTTTATTTTGTCGGTACGCGGGCCTCTCACTGTTGTGGCCTCTCCCGTTGCGGAGCACAGGCTCCGGACGCGCAGGCTCAGCAGCCATGGCTTACGGGCCCAGCCGCTCCGCGGCATGTGGGATCTTCCCGGACCGGGGCACGAACCCATGTCCCCTGCATCGGCAGGCGGACCCTCAACCACTGCGCCACCAGGGAAGCCCTTGGCTGTTATTATTATTGAAAGTAAAAAGAGGATGAAATGAGAGGATGGACTTCTGAACCAAGTTGGAATGACAGTAATTGCCAGGAATAAAGAATTACACAAGGAAAAGATTGATCTTTTATTACTCTCCCCAAGGCTGCTTGGAGGCGCTGGAACATGGGGCCACACAGAGGATGGGGTGAGATTCATGGACAGTCCCATCTACATCATGGTCCAACCATCTATGTCCTTGTTTTCTAGTCCCAAAAGCATTGATCTTACTGTCTGGCACTGGCTGCATTAACCTTTGCCCACAGATTAGGAGTACTCCTAAGACATAATGATTTCCCCACTTCTATTAATGCAGAGACCTGGGACCAGAAAACCAGGGTCCCAAGGGAGACCATCAAACAGATGCTTTTAAGAGCAAGGGGAGGGCATTAGCTTGGATACTAACAGAATTAACACGGAAAAAAATTTTTTAAAGAAAAAAACTATGATGTTTTGGTTTCAGTTAAGGAATCTTGTCTTTGTATGGAGGGAGCTGTTTGTGGTTGGGTCGGGGGAAGATGGGGGTATCCAAAATAAGAGGCAGGACGGGAGCAAGACATCCCGCCTCTTATTTTGAAACTCTGACTGCAGAAACCGGAGCTGAAATGCTATACCATTCTCTTATGCCTCATTCAGTGGTCAGACTGTTCTAATTTAATGCGTGCATAAGAATAAAAATTAAGCTTTCCAGTGCTGGGGCAGATTTTTTTTTTAAAAAAGACGCAGGCTTTATCCCCTATAAGATTAAACATGAGGGTTTAAAGGTTTAATCTGCTGGAATTCAGCCCAGGATGGGGTCCAGAGCCCCAGAATAATTGGATACAGCCTCAGGCTTTGAACATCAGAGCTGGTTGGGGGTTGTGTGTGTGTGTGTGTGTGTGTGTGTGCACGCATGTGTGTGAAATATGCTAAGGAGTGTTTGAGGTCCCTCCTTGGCAATGAGCTGTGGCAGGAGGAATAAAGCCGCCTGCCCCTGCCTCCTGCATTGGTTCCTCAGTGGCTAACTGGATACAGCTTCTGGGGGGTGCCATGCTCATGAATGTGTGCTATTGTTCCAGGCACACGTCGGCCTTAAGAAATAGCACAAAACAAAACAGCCCCGTCCTTATTCAGATGCAGAGCCCCCTCCATCACTCAAAGCGGCCCTTCCAGGTCACATGCCCGAGGCCTCTGCAGACAGGACACAGCTGCCTCTAATCTGCTGCCTAACATTAGCCGCGGTTCAAAAAACCTGACAGCTCTGCGCTTCCCAAGGCTCCGCAGAGGAAGCTAGAAAGATCTGGGATCCGGGCAATATGTTCTCCGAGGAACTGTGGCTGGAAAATGAGAAAAAGTGTGCTGTGGTTCGCAAGCCTAAGCAAGGCAGGAAACGCCAGGAGCTTCTGGCCGTGGCCTTGGGGGTGAAGGTGGGAGTCAAAGGCAGCTTTCTTTGGCCCCCTCTCAAACTCTTTGCCTGTCCACAGATCTCCTCCCTGGTCCGAAGGGCCGCCCTCTCACACAACGACAACCACTTCAACTATGAGAAGACACACAACTTTAAGGTAAGGGAGCCTCTGCTTTCTTTCTTCTGTTATAAAAGGGCAGGTAGAGAGCTCCAGTTTATGCTTTCCACCTGGTCTTTGATGGTAAAGTAACGAGACAGCAAACTCCTCTGCTTTCCACATTTAGTTACTTGTTTTGAATCAAATCAAACGGGAGATTTCAGAAGGCAGTTTGCTCAATGCTGATGCTTAGAAACACCTATATGTATGTTAACTTAGCTCCGGAGAACTGGGCCCATTTCCTCCTCACATTCCCACGTCCAATGAAAGAAAAACAGAGCATGCCCAGTCTTTGGCATTTAGAGATCATCTGGTGAATATCAAGCAGTACTTTTCCGCTGGGAGTAGCAGTAAAGAATATTGTTATCTCTGAGCAAGTGAAAACAGTTGCCCGTTTCACATTTTGTGTTTTGTCTTTTGTTTTCGGGGATGCTAACTCCTTTGGTTTATGTGTAGACAGCTGTGAAAGCAAATGACGACAGGAGATACCATCCAGTAGCTTTTGTCTGTGCTCTGGGTGCAGGGGGCACCCTGGCAGCCTTACCAATCTCCTTCTGGTCACAGCCTTGGTCCTGCTCACCAGCCCAAACAAAAAGATACGGAGAGCTGGTGGCGCTTTAAGTGGATTTTCCCATGTGAATTTATAAACTGGAAATACTGCTATCTTCATTTCAGACTAGCAGTTGTAGAAACGGCCTGCCGTCAGAAAATTACGCCTCTTTCCTTTGCCCTGATGTGTTTTCCAAGAAGCTCTGAGAGGAGGTTCTGATGCCAAATTGCCTGGCTTGAGATGCCATTGAGTGCAGGAGAGACAGGACAGCGTTAGAGGTTTTACCCCAGCAAATGGGCTGACAGTGTGGAAGTTGGAGAGAGTGGAGATGAGGGATCCAGGAAGAAAAGAAGAGACAGGGGCAGCTAAATGTAAATTGTATTCTCTTTTAAAAACTCGTTTCCCTTAGGGCCAGTAGCCCGAGTAACAACTGGAACTAGATAACCCTTTGTCAGAAGTGACCAGGGAGACCTAGTTTTTTCTGTTGCTTTCCTATCCTTCCTACGGACAGATGTGTGTCTATTAAATATACATTTGTGTTAGTTTGGTCTGTTTGCCCTGCTTCTGTTTTTAGAAAGCAAACAGCTCAGGCATTTGCATGCTATAATTGACCTGAGGCATGGAATTTATTCAGCTCTCCATATTTAGCATGAGGGTGAAGAATTGCATTAGATAGGTCCTCATCCATGCCAAGGCTTTCGCTATTTCTCTCATCACTGAATAGTGACAGGTCTAATTTGGGGCATCACTGAGTAGAGACGGGTCTAATTTATGTTTATTTCTCTTTCCTCTCTTTACCCTATTTTTTTTTTTTTTTTTTTTTTTTTTTGCCTTAAGAAAGTATTTTTCTGACTTCTGGCAGAAATCCCTGACTTTTTGCATCCTATAGATGCACTACCATGAATGGTAGGATGGATCTTGGCCTTGCAAATTTTTTTTCCTTCCTCTCGAAAATTCTGATTCTTTTGGCTTTGAGATACCATTGGAATTGTGCCCTGCGCAGTTATGTGTTTACATGGGCTAGCTTCTCTCTGTAGATACTCGTCTGAGTTTGTGTGAAAAATACCCAAGTGTATTTAGTTGACTGAGTTTCAAAACTAATTTCAGTCTTTTTAAATCTTAGATGTCTGCATGGGACATAAAGACATTTAAAACAAAAAGTTAGTTGAATCTTATTTTCTTAAATAGTTCTGTTGCTGACATGAGCTACATTAATTATTTATCACTAAAAAACACCAACAGCTTTTTAAACGTTTGCTTTAAAAGTCAGTATCTATTAACTATCTCTATTAACAATATCTCTTCTAACCTACTGCTATTAAAAGAAGAAAAGGCAGAGAACAGACAGGTCGTTAGAGGGGAATAGACAAGCCAGACAGGAGCGTTTCTCTTCCGTGTTTTAAATAGACATCTTTGAGACATAACAGACCCTTGAGTCGCTGTGTCAGTTGACTGTGGCTTTCAATGGTACTGCTCGTGCCACTGTCCTTAAGAATGAGTGGCTGAGGCAGGAGGAGGGATGGCTCTTTCTGTCACTCCTTTCCCCATCCCCGCCTCATTCAGCCCTCTCCTCACCCCCCAACCAACTTTAAGTGGGAACTCTGCATGGTCTGTAGAAGAACATTCTAAAAGCAGGTCCCTGCTATAAATAGAGCAGTGGGGTTTTAGTAACATGCCACTGACCTAACAGAAGAAAGAAAGGTCTTATCAAAGGCCCCTGACATCTGCTTGGAATCTGTTTTATATCTTAAATTTGCAGTAAGTTTTTATTTATATTAACTTCTAGTAGGCTTTGTTCTGAAACTTTCTTGATTTGTAATTTGGGTTATTATTGGAGGGTATTATGTGTCTGGCATAGAGAAAGTGTTTAAAAAGAATAATCACATTTTCATGCTTATCAAGAAATGAGCCTTGCAAGGCTCTGTCTGCGCTCTCGCCTAGAGGCCTCCTACCAGAGAGTCAAATCTGCTAGCAGATCTTGATGCCTCACTTCAGAACAGGATTTTCTGCCCCAGTCAGGACTATTCCCCGGGTAAAAAGCCCTCTCCTCACTCTCCCCAGGAGCTTCATCACAAGCAATGAATAGATAACCTATAATGAAAAGGATCTGAAAAAGAATACATACATATATATATATATACATATATATATAAAATATAACCGAATCACTTTGCTGTACACCTGAAACTAACACATCTTTGATAAATCAACTATACTTCAAATCAAAAAAAAATCCAATACTTACAATTTTAAAAAAGAGCAATGAATGGAAACTCCTGACACAGTGCAGGTTGGAACCCCTCCCGCTGTGCTCTTTGAGAAGGCTTCCTGTCACTGCTCCTGAGGGCATATCTACTGCCCTTGCTTTCCAAACAAAGCGTGTCTAGGAAAAGCTGAAATTCAGCTCTGGAAACAAAAGGTTTCGGAAGCAAATTAAAGTTGCGCCTCATTTCATGCAGTAATTATATACTTTTCAACACTGTATACAAATGCGATTGTTGCTGATTTAAATCCTAAATTCTCAGGATTACTTGTACATACTAGGAACTAAGAGTAGTTGTTGAAGGAATGATGACATTAGCAGACTCCTCTCTAGAATGAAAACTGTTTGATATATAGAAAAGCCGTTTTGTTATTGAACGTGTTTTATGTCCGCATCTCTGTTTATCCATGGGACTGAAAGAGGCACTCTCCCGTAGGTAGACTAGCTCTCTTTTTAGAGGATCTGCCCTAAGAACACCTTATGGCTGAGCTCTGAAACCCTCGAGAACCCTGCAGCCCCATCAGTCTGGATAACTGTCCTTCCTTCCCCACTTAGCACAGTGATGAGGTAGCTGTGGCCAGCTTGGTACTCCTGGCCACAAAGTGCTCTTTGGCAAGGACCTTAGTTCTCTGAGCATCAGTTTCCTCACCTGTAAAATGGGAGTGCTGTAAGGTTTAAAGAATACATGTAAATCACTCAAGGTCACTGGCACCCAGTAAGGTTGGCTACTATTATTACTTTATTGTTCATCTTTTCGTGTCTCTCATTTTTCTTGAGTTTTGATGTTTAGCTTTCTCTGTCTCTGTATTTCTTATTTTCTACCTTCACTTCTTCCTGTCCTTTTTTCTATCATCTCTTTCTTCTTCTCAGCATGATGTAATTAAAAAATGAAAGAACATTCCAGGCAGTGCAAAGGACATGAGTCAGAACTTGGAATTAGAAATGAGCCAAGGGTGAACAGGGTACAGGGAAGATACCATCCAGGAGAGAGAGTTGCTCACTGCACATCTGGAGAGTCAGCTGGGGCGGGGCGGGTGGCCACAGCCTGCTGACGCATTGGCACTTTGTGTGCTTAGCCCACTCACGCGCTCAGCCTTCCCAATCTGCATGTGCGTGTACATCACTCACTCCTTTTCCTGAATTCTCTCCCTCCACCCAGGTACTTCAGGGGCGCTCTTCTCTCCCTATATGCAATATGCACGGAGAGCAAAGGTCCAGAAAGTTCTAAACGTTAAAGAGCAGACCACCCGATCCCGACCTCACCTGTGTTCCCCATCCCACCAATCCCTCCCCCAGCCCTCCCCCAGGCCTCCCCTGTCCATCTTCCCTTCAATCCTCTTCTATCCCCATCCATCCCTTTCCCAGCCCTCTGCCAGCTTTACTTTCATCCATAGCATTGATCACCAGCTGACATTGTACACATGTATTTATGTGTTTGCCTTCTCCTTATCAGAAAGAAAGACCCTGCTGGGTGGGGGAAAAGGGGTGGAGATAGAGACTTTTGTCTGTTGTACTTCCTGCAGAAATCCCAGTGTCTCAATCAGGGCCTGGCCCGGAGCCGACTGTCAGTGAATATGTTGACAGGATGTGTAGCAGGTATCTTCTGACCCTGCCTACCTAAGCTTGCACTTGCCCTCCTCACTCCCCGTCCCACAGTTTGCCCTCATTTGGGGCTTGTTGTGCTCCAGTCCTTCCAGGTGGTGGGTAGCAGTCCTTGCCAGGGTCACCAACAGTGCTACCCGGTATCTTATATGCAGGCAAGCGGGGGAGACACCTGCCCGGTTTACTCCTATTGTCCCAGCTTCCTGTGTGGTGACTCTCAAAAGTGGCCTTGACTGGGCTTAAGTTAAACGGTTGCCAACTTGCCCTTTTACGTCCCCCACTCTCCATAGACGAGGCTGCACCAGCAGAATCCTTTTCCTGCAGTACACTGTGTGTACGTGCGTGCTCGTGCAGCACCTCCCACCCCTAAGATTCTGGGGGCCAGGACAAGAAGTCCGGGAGGCTGAGGGTGTGTGGCAGGGTGTGGCAGCACCACGACCTCCCAGTTTGGGTTTTGTGGCTCCTTGACGGCTTCTATGCCTATCATCAGTTTCTGCATTCTTATCAATCTGGTGGTCATTTGCTTTGCAACAAGCCATGTTTGCTTCCCACGTGCAAACCCCTTGCTTTTCCTCATCTTTGTTG